GAGCCTGGGCAGAAAGCATAGCTTTTCAACTCTAGACTCAAATTCTTTCCTGGAAAGCTTCGAACTGAATAAGAAGGCCCTTATCTAATCATCTCCGTCTCACCTCATGGGGCGGTTGAATCTAAAAATTTAAAAGATGAAGGGACCTTCAAAATTAATGGTCAAAAGCTTAAACCATTTATTGATAGACAAGCTCTTCAAAGAAATGTGGAATCCGCCCTCTTGGTGGATCCCATTTACTTTGAAGATTGAGAACATTTAACGTCTTTCTAGCGACGTTAAATACTAGTTGTATTGAGTTCTTCCTTCATTCTAAAATAAAAATAATGAAAAAAAAAAAAATTTGTGTGTAAGTATCAGGTGCCGAGCGATCATTCGCCCGACCTTAGGGGACCATCGCCCAGAGGAAAAAAAAAAAATTTCGTGTAAGTATCAGGTGCCGGGCGATCATTCGTCTTGCCTTGGGCAACCATCGCCCAAAAAAAAAAAAAAAAAAAAAAATTTGCGTAGAAGTATCAGGTGGCCGGGCGATCATTTGCTCGGCCTTAGGCGACCATTACCAAAAAAAAAAATTTGCATGTAAGTATCAGGTGCCGGGCGATCATTCGCTGGGCTTTGGGCAACCATCACCCGACAAAAAAAAATAATAATAAATAAATTTTCTTTGCATTCTTTATTTCATTGCATTTTCATTTATTGAATTTTTGTTTTTTTATATTTTATTGTTGTTTGTGTACATATATGCTATGTTTTAAAAAATAATAATAATAATAAAAAAAAAAAAAAAACAGTTGTTCAAAGTTATATTTTGTCTTGCTAGAGAAGTTAAACTTAGCACCCACAAGACATATTGTGTCTTTTATCCCTTGTATAGTGCATGTTTACTTTCCTTTTCATTTTTTATTTTTCTTTTATTTTATTTCTTTACATGCTTTCATAAAATAAAATAAAATAAATGTTTTTTTTTTTTTTTTCCATTGTGCATTTCTGCGTAGTTATGCATGTTTTCATTCTTACCAAGGGTTTCATCTCATATCTATTTGCATCGTGTTATATATTATTTTGGACTGTATGCATTACTTATTCCATGTGATATTTGATGTGAGTTTGCTAGTATGGTTATACAGCTAGGTTTTTGCATTCAAGTTTGGGGGAGACATCTTTCCTACTGGATCATTGCCAGACTTCATAGTCTTTGTCATCACGGTATACTCTTTCCATCATTTTTCATTGTTCTCATCGCACATTGAGGACAATGTACAGTTTAAGTTTCGGGGTAAGGTCATCATGATTCATTTTATTTTAAGTTGAGCTTTAAATGCGAGATTTGAGATGTGTTTGGCATTGATTTCGAACTTTTGAAGCATAGTGCATTTGAAAAGCAAGTAGTTAGAGTCTAATACTTCTTGTATACTCTAGGATGCCATTTAGGGGTAAATTTCAATTTTTGACATCATGTTTGCTTTTGTGGTACACATCATCTTGTTAATTAAGAATACTTTGAAAGTTGATTCTAGAATTCTACACTTACACTTGTGCACACTAGCATTCAATTTGCGGGGTACATGCTTAGTTGATTATTGTTTTGGTTTATCCCAATTGAGCTAGTATGCTTTGAAAGCTTTCATTTTTGATAAAATGACCTTGCAAAGAAAAGAAATAAAAGCACTCACCAAAGGTGAGCAAAATCACTCGCCAAAGCTGAGAAATAGGAATAGGAAAAAAAAAAAATGAAATCAATTAAAAAAAATTGTTTGATTGAATAACAAGGTTCATTCAATGTCTTGATGTCTGGTACTATATCTGTATGCTAGTTTGAGGGTAAGGTTATGCCATTACTTTGATTTGTTGGAATAGCAACACATTTTGATGTCAGTTCACTCCAAAAGAATGATAGAATTGATTCAATTTGCATGATTAATTGCTTGATGTATGGAGGATCATTCTTGCTTATATGATGTTGAAATGTTGAGAATAGCTTAGAAATGGCAGAAATTTGCATACTTGAAGTAATCTACTTTCAACACTCGTTTGATATGTGTCGTTGCTTCTTAAGTAAGAAAGAGCTGTTGATGTTTGTGGGTACCATTTTTGGAAACCCTCACGAGACTTCACTCGTCCACTAGGGGTAACGTAGGGGTTTAAAAGGTTTGTTGCATATGCTAAATGCAACCATGATCCCTACGAAAGTGTTGTTATCTTTATTTGTTTTATTAGTTTATAGTTGTATATATGTTTGTTTCATTTTCATACTGTAGTTCATTTCTAGGGACTAGCAATATTTAAGTTTGGGGGCGTGATAAGTGCTTAAATGTTGCACATTTTAGTACCTAAGTTAAGGTATTTTAGTCTTTACATCTATCTTATTTTTATGTTTTAGTCCTAATTAATGTTTATGTCTATTTCAGGGTAATAAAGTTCAAACGGGTTTAAATCGGTCCATTACAGCATTTTTGGAGACAAGCAGAAAGTTCCAGAAAATTTCAGAAGAAATCAGAAAAATGCCAAGGATGTAGCAGAGTGCACTGCGTCTGGACGCCAAAAGTTGCTTCAGGACGCCATGTTACTGGCAACAATTTAAGTTACGGATTTGACCTGTTTTGATGGCTACGGGATTTTGTCTTTTGGGCGTATTTTTGTAACTTATGGGCTTTAATAGAGTTTGTTAGTCTTTCATTATTTTAATTAGGAGCTTTTAATATATTATTATTTCGTATTATTTTTATTCTGGAATCGATATATTACTACGCTCTCTGGAAAACACGAAAAGGATGAGAAACTGAAGAACAAGCTAGGGTTTGGAAGAAGAAGCTCAGAGATGATAAAGCAGATAATGGAGATTGTTCTGTCTTTAAATCCATCAACCATGAGTGGTTGATTCTTCTACTTAAAGTTGGATAAACTCTAAGCATGTAACCTAATTCCTAACTTTTCTCTTTTTGGGGTTTAATTTATGTAATTAGTGTATAGGCTTGAATGTTTATGAATAAATTCTTCCAATTGATTATCAATGTTAATATCATGTTGTCTTTTGTGTGTTTGCTTCGTAATCAACTTTTACGCTTGAAATCTTGTTAATTGATTCTTGTGATGTCTATGCATGGTGATAATTAGTTGTAATTATGATTCAATTTGATGAATATTGCTTGTGCTAGATGGATTGCCCTACACAATTAGTTAATTTCTTGTCTAATTAGTTTAATTGCATGCTTAGTTAGCTTAATTTAAGGTTAATTAATTTAATTGCAATTTAAGTCCTAGGTAAGTAGACAATCCATATTAGTGTTTGAAATTCATGCTTATTATCACAATTGCATTATCCTCTAGATTAATGTGTGTTGAAATTGTAACTTGAATTGATGAATCATGCTTTGAATTGGTGAATTGCACTACACTTAGTTTAACTATCATTAAGAAGTTGATTCATTCTTGAAATTGATGGTTTATACTTTTCATTGCAATTATTAACATCATTTAGAATTACATTTGATTTTTCCCCCAATTAGTTGAAAGTAGTGAGTTAGGGAATGTACTTAGTGGTGAATCATACACCTTAAATCTCTTCCAATCTTTTAAACTGCATTTATTTATTGCAGTCACTTAAGTTAAATTAGTTCTAATCACAAAACAAAACCCTTTTCAGCAATCACATAAGTACTAAAGTAGAATTCAATTCTAAAAACCTATAATTGTTTAGATTTCTTGGGACGATTCACGCTCACGTCATACTCCATAGTATGATGTGATCCCTTACACATAAATAACCATTCCCTGTTGGTTTTTGCTTTGTTTATGAGCTTTGTGTGTATGCAGATTGAGGTAGTGCAAAATGACATATATTTCATATCCAGTGCAGATCATATGTTTAATGGGATCCAGTGAGTGTTATTCAGAAAGATTTGTGGGGAATTGTTGAAAAAATGAATGTCATTTAGATTTTTTATAGAATGAAATAATTTCTATTATGCTCCGTAATAAATACAAAGAAAGATAAATATGATAGAATATTGAGCCGAAAGAGAAGATCTCCTTGCCCAAGACCTCCAGTTTCACCTCACCATTGATGAACATGGAAAATTCTAGAATGTCCTGGGTACATGATCTTATATATGAGCATATAATTTTTTGAGATATTTGAAAAATCAAACTCCCCGTACAGGCACCTATATATGAGCATACAATTTTTTGAGATATTTAAAAAATCAAATAAGTCATTTAATAAAATTTTATATTTAATAATTAAATAAAGAGAGGTCATGTATAGGAGTACATATTTATCACCAATTAAAGTAAACTGCATAGGTAATTAGAATTTAAATCCTTAAATTTAAAGATGTGTATATTAATTACCAAATTTTGATGTAATATTAGTTTCCTTTTTAGAAATTGGAAAAACCTATTTCTTTTCTTGCAAGTCTTCCAGAGGAAACCTATTTAAGGGCCACATCCACTTTCCATTCAGCCTCAATCTCGGTCGTCTTCTGTATTTGGAAACCATCCATTCCAGAGCTTTCCGCCTCAATCACTCTGATGTTGTATTGGATTGAAATCAGCCCCAGTCTGTGACCGAGTCTTTCTTTTCTTGCATAGAAGATAACAGTTTCAACACACAACTCTGTCACAACTCTGATTACACGTCCTTGCTTGGTCTCAGAAAAAGAACAGAAAAATCGAAAGAACATCATCCTTGAAAGTCATCCATAGACCTGAAGGTTGAAGAAGTCGGGAAAAGCTCCGAGTGTATCAATTTTATTAGAAGATAGCAGTTTCAACACACAATTCTGCTCCCTGCTCAATATTGTTCTAAATCTAATCAAGTGGGCGGCCCCTCTTTTTCTCTTCTATCGTGAATTGAGCCGACTCTCACGACGAACACGATTTCCTACTACAAAAAGACCCCCGACTATCAGTCTTCCTCCCTTTACACGTCCTCGCTTGGTATCAGAAAAAGAACAGAAAAATCTACGTCCTTGCTTGCTATTAACCCAATTGAGATAGAGATGTTTATACCGGCCCTAGGGTTTCGCTTCGCCCCCAAAGAAGATGAAATCCTCCATTACCTAAGAAGTCACGGTAAAGTGACGGGAGAGAGCTTGCCTGAGGGTATAATATTGGATATTGATTTTTACATGAATGCCCCATGGGACATATTCAGAAAAGAATTTGAAGATCAATGGCGGCATACGAGTAGCAACGAATTCGTGATCTACGTCTTCACTAAGTTGAAGAAAATTGGCAATAAGAAGAGAGTTGTAAGGAGAGCCGGGTGTGGGACTTGGGATGGCAAAACCAAGACTCATGAAATTTATAATGGACAGAAACAACTTATTGGTTTCAAAAGGATGTTGGATTTTGAAGCAAATGTGAAGAACGATGAGTACTCCATCATGCCATGAGGGCACTGGATCATGCACAAATATTCCTTGGGTGGTGTGAGTTTGAATGGGTTAGAAGAAGAAGGTGATGGTGATTATGTTATTTGCAAGATCAAACGAGATAATTCTAAATTTCTGAGGAGAGCGCCAAAGCATGTTCGCGAGTTATCCAAAGAAGAAAATCCTAGTCCGAAGAAGAAGAAGAAGGTGCGATATGATCATGATGAGGCCTCTACAAGTACCGCACAAAAGACTCCGACTCTAAAGGATCAACATGAGTTACTTCCAATGCCGTGTTCCGATTTTCAGCCACTGTTGATGATATCAATACAACAATGAACTCATACCAAGACCTACAATAGATTGAGGCATTTTTTGACAACTGTGATTTCGAAACAGATTTCTTTGATTCAGATATGGAGACACGCCTCAACGCTTTTTCTAAAAGTCTTCTGTATGATCACTCATTTCTTTAGAGCTACCTTAAGATGATGATGATCTTGTATATATAGTTGCTAGCTAGTTTTTCCTTTTTGATTCTTTTAATTTCATTGTTCATTGTTGTGACTTCTATGTTGTAATTGATTGCTTGTAATATGGAGACTTAGTTGTATGTTTTACAACTCCATCTAGTTATAAAAGTACGTTGATCCCTCACAAGATTTTGCCTTAAATGGTAAACTCGCAATTAATGGTTCATTGAGTGCAATTAATCTTGTGCAACAGAACAATTGCAATTGCCCTCCAACTGCAGAACTTTGTTGTTACCTTTGCCCTCCCTCTCTCTCTCCAATCTTCTCTCTTTTATCTCTCTCTCCCAAGGCAAGGCAATGTAGGGTCTACAGTTTTAAGAGAGTGCTTGCATTTCTACACTTGAAGACGATACAGTTTAAGGGAAATATAAATCAACGAGTAAACTCTATTATTGACATGATTTCCTTGCTAAATACATTTATATAGTATTCCATATAAATGTACAAAAGCTTCACATGTAACCCACAGGTCCTATAATTAAGCATGTATATCATATAAAGTACACCAGATTAAACAGCAAGCTCGTGGAAGAATAGAGGCATCGCCATTCTAGCCTCGCCCAAACCATGATTGATATTTGACCACGACATTATCTTCGTAGATGCTACGAGCCACTGGAAGTGCGTAGCCAGAGACTTAACTTGTAGCAGTAGTCGGTGAAATTGAGCTCATTTGGAGTTGTCAATGAAGAGTATCTTCTCCGGATGGAAAGGGCCACGCAGACTGTGTGTAACTTGGCCATTCCACCTCATCCGGTCCGTGATGCTTTTTACTTTCACAATGACATCAACATGATCTCTTATTACAACGGCCCCTTCAGGGCGAAGAATCCGATATATTTCAAAAAGAATTCCAGTAATGTCACACCTACATAGACACCAGATAAGTTTAAGTTAAATAACATTTCAACATGAACTTGTATTTTCTAATTAATGGGCCCTCTGCCCACACAGTGCAGGAATTTAACAATCCAAACCAAGTACTGCTAGAGAGAGTAGAAATTGAGAGATGATCTTTAAGTCTATCAAGTGATATTATAGTAGTATAGTCGCATATGAAAAAGAAAATCCTCGACCTTCTCTAAGAGAGCAATATCATTAAAGTTAAGAGCCCATTTAATCGGACCGAGTTATACATAATCTACTGCAAAATCTATGGAAACTTAAAAGCTTTCAAAGAATCTACAGACTTTCTTTGCCTCCCCTTCCGCCGTTAAGTAAGCTTAAAAAACAACTTTTCACTTTCCGATACAATTTTAAGCTAAATAAATGCATATGAAGAAGTGTAACTATTTTTTTGGTCAAACTAAGTACTCTCTCTTCAGACCAACAAAACCAGAGGATTTTAGTAAAACAATCATCTAGACAGTTGCACCAAATTCCATAGATGAAAAATGAAAACCTGAACATTCAACATTAAAATTGACTGATATCGTCTTTGTAGCATTTGGATGACTCGCTGAAATAGCACCCTATCTATTGGGTTTTATCAAAAATTTGAATAGCAGTTAGTTATTGCATTTAATAGAAGACACAAAATTTTCCAATACCTTAATTCATTTCTTCTTGAAAATTATACTTTTTATCAATTTGATAGACCAATTTGCGGGTCAAATGCCAAGCAAAACACAAAGAAATGGTAAAATTCCCATAAGACATCTAAACATCTCCTAGAAAAATGCTAGGAACTCAAATACTTACTTGTTCATGTACATACTAAATAAACCATCAGCATGTATCAAATCATATGTTCGAGGGTATGTTGAGAAGGGCTCACACCTGCAACCAAGAATATCTTGTAAAGTCCAGCAGTTTAATTGGAAACACAAGATTTCATATTTAACAAATTTGCTACAGTTTTCTAAATCCATAGAGCACATTAAAATGGATTAATCTAATGATATCAAAGAGTGATGAAACCAAATATGGAAGCCAAGTGGTGGAAAAGACAAGGAAAATGCACACTGGTGGAGACATCACACTTTGATGCATAGAGTGAAAAATCAGGAACACACAAAACTAGAAAATAGAGAAGCCAGAGAAATCCAATTTAAATCGTTGGAAGACATTTTCGTATGTCCTCCAAAATTTGTAATTGCTTACTTTGTGGAGAATCGGTAGTACCAGCAGCAAAGAAGTCATTTTCCTTGTTATAGTTCAACTTCTAATATAAAATACTAAGCTCTGTTGTGGTAATAAATTTAACATATAACACATAAACAGTGGGTTAAGAATATCGTTATTTTTGAGGCAGACATGGTGAGGCCCTGTACATACTTTTAGCAAATGTCGGATGTATTTAAAGATCTAATTTCAATTAAGTTACCGGCATAGCTATCCAACAATGCTACTCCATGTTTTAGACTCAGATGCTTTAATAAGAAGCAAAATTCCAACATTTACAAGCAATAACAGCAACCATTTCACTAAGTTTCGACAAAAAAATGACTAAACAATCATTAAGTATGACAGTTTATAACGTACAAAAGCATATAAGTTAGTATATAACAAAAGACAATAAACGTACATATCATCATCAGAAAAGAAAAAAAAAAAAAAATACTAATAATAAAGAAAAAAGCTCAAGTCTCACCAGTTCATGTAAGTTCCAAGAAGGCCACGTTCATAGATCACACCAAGGGTATTGTTATTTCCATCAAAAGGAACCACATTCATAACCCAAACTGGGTACTTGGAAAGTGCAGCTGAAAAACCCCCTAAGCCAGCATTCATGTCCATAATATTTCTATATCTACCAGCAAAGAGAGATTTGAGAATACTTCCATAGTACAGAACTCTCCTTTTCCATAATTGATTATCTTCATTAAAGGTCTTGACAGTAGTCCCTTCCACCATGCCGCTTCTAATTCTAGGTGGAACAGTCGTCAACCTTTGAGGCCATTTTTCAAGAGCACCCCCAGCGGTATCATGGATAGCTGTCACCATTGGAAGAGGAGTAATACAGACATCCATGTTCTTGTACCTAGAGAAAAAAGTTAATATTTTCAAAATGATGAATGTTTCTTAACTGCTTCATGCAAAAGTAGAAGCTTGGGTTGACAGGCATCAAAAAGCCGGTTTGAGTGCAAGAGCAGCCACTTTTTGCAAAATAATGCAAATGTTAAGTTTGTTTCTAGTCTACCTAGGTGGGAGCAACATTATGTAATGGCCTTTCAGATAATTTTATTAATAGCTTGCTTTTTACATATCATTTACAACATTCTGAAATTACATAGGAAGTAGCTAGAGACTACATACCGAAAAATAATTACAATGTCTCAAAATTGACTTATGCTCAGTTGGATGCTGATGGAGGGGAAAAGAGAGAAATTTTTAAATTTTAGAAAAACAGTTGCATGTTGTAATATTTCAAACGTTCTCTACTTTCCCACTCCTCAGTAAGCATGGTATTTAAAAAAGAACTAGATCGTATACAAAAGAATGGTAAAGGCATCGCATCGCAAATGTTTTGGTTCACACATTCTAGGTCTTTTAGGGAGGAAAAAGGAAACGAAGAAATAAGGAAGACTTTTGGTACTGGAAATTTAGATTTACAAGAAACAGCACATGCAAGAGCTGTGTAAAAGGATGCTTTTATGTTGAATTCACTTTGGGCACTAACAATTACGCTTTCATCCTTGTTACATAGTCTAAATGCAAAAAAGTGAAGAATAAACTTACCAACCGGCATCAGGATCAGTATTAGCACAAAAATGGGGAGATTTCCAAGTCTTTAACTTTTGGCTGCAGTGAATGTGATTAGTAGGCTTTTGCCATACTGCAATTGCTCCCCTTTCTTTAATCTTCTTCCAGCAGAGTCGCCTAGCAAGATCTTCCAAACTATTTTGCTCTTTTTGTAGGTCTTGCACCGTTCTCTCCCAGCCCTTGTAGTTTACCTTCCAATTTATAGGTGGCCCAGACAATACCCAATAGCCACCAGGGCGCAAAATACGATCAATTTCCATCAGATATAGTCCACCTGGCACACATATTAAGGAAAAAATTATCAGATTATATGAATGTAATGCAGATGAATATGTGCAGAGCAAACAGACACCTCCCAACACAAACCTATTCATTACATTTTATGTTGTATTGATACGAGTGGTTATTTGTCATGGTATTCAATTTGAATTAGGAGTACTGAACATATAGGATCAGCTCATAAGTTCAATAAACGATATTGCCTCAAATTCAACAATACTCCCTAGGAATGCCTTAACAGAAAAAGTATGAGGATCGATAATAATATAATAGATTTCTGCCTATAAAAAAGGAAAAGAGACGAAATCATTTTATAGTGGTGGCAATATGTGCCAAAAAGAATTTGAAAATTCAAGTACCGTCACCAATCCATTGTACAAGGCATCGTGAACAGTGAGCCATGTCAAAAGATCTCGATGGGTATGGTAACCTGTAGGTGCTAAGTACACCAAGCATTGCAGGAAGTCCTCTTTCCAAGGCAAACTGCACTTGAGCCTCATGAATATCTCTCGGTGCTACAGACATTGTCAAAATGTTATAATCTATGAGCGAGGCCCCAAAGCTTGCAACCTGAGAAAAATGTAATTAAGACCAAAATTTCCATTAAGCATGAGTATACAAATCAATTATACAATTCGAGTTCATGACTACACTGACTATACATATCTCTTTGACAGCTGAGGAGGTAGAGGATGATAAACAGAACAACCAATTTTCTTGCCAGGTCTTGGCCAAAATCAGAAATCATCTCATTTGGCCAGCTGATGAAATAAAAAATAAAAAAGTCCATAAAATGCTTAAAATTAAATTTAAAAGTTAATTTATTGTGTGTGTGAGCTCATTCAGTGGCGTTTGTGGTTTTGTTAAAACCAAAAGAAGAGAAAATATGTTATACATCTATTGCTTAGTTTTAAGAGAACTCTAGAATCACACACATAATAACATTACCTTTTAGTCCTAATCTAATTATCATCATACCACTAACAGAAAAAGAGTTAACTAAAGTTACTAGCATTTTATAAAGAAACCAGAAGTCGAGAATGGACTATAATACTGGATATCATATAGAACCAGGGAACACAAGTCAGTTGAGTGAAGAGGGCATGAAAATAAAAAACTCAAAATAAATTGTTGTGAAGGATGTGAAGCACAGCCCGTGTGAACATATGTCATTTATCTCTGCCCCTACCATTATTGCATGTCTTAAGTACACCAAATTTGATCAAAGCTATCAATACTGAAAGTAGAATTGCTTATACCAAAAAACACAGCAAACTGATCTCATCTCATATTCTTCTCGACTTTCCCTCTCTTGCTCTGTATTTTAAGTAGTATTAAGCCTTAAAAGAACCCTTGACAGTAAAACAGGATGAGATGAGTCAAGATATTCTCGCAATCTCTGGTCCTTGTTTGTCATATAGAAATACCACCAGCTGTTAGCTTGAGTGGTATCTCTTGCCACCCACAAAAAAAATGATGCAAAATTCAAGTCTCAGTTGGAATGTGCGAGTGTGCCTTAAGAAAGAAACAAAAACACAAGACAAAGATAAGGCACAATTTTGAAAGAAAACAAAATCTTGAATGAGGGTAACAAGTCTTTACATGAGATATTGTGGATTGGTTATTCTATGCTATTGTTGCCTTACCTAAATCTAAGATAGATAAGCTGGGAATGAAGGACGATTTCCTCAAAATACCCTTCCCATTTCCCAAGTTTCTGTCTATTTCCGGTGAAGTGAATAGAGTATCAAACATCACTGGGAAAAGAAAAGGAAACCATTTTTTTACATGGAAAAAAAAATGAAAATATAGAAGACATACATTTTGATACTTAACTCTATATACCTTGTCCCAATTACCTGGGTTTAGTTCCACAAAAAGGCTAACACTTGACATAATGTTAGAAAATAGTCATCAATCCTAATTATTTGGGGCCAGTTAAGTTAAAAGGAAAATTCTTTGACCAATGTTTGTAAATGGTTCTTTGACAACCACTTGTATCATACATCTTTATCATTAATTTTAAAGACCTAACAGAACCATATAAATATTGAATTGATTAACCCAAAAAAATAATGTGCAGTAATAAATATACAGTTAGCAACAAGAAACTAACTAAACAGACCACTTTCAATAATAAATTGAAAAAGCTGAAAGCCTTAGACACAAGCATTTTATGTATTGCTAACTAACTAAACAAAGCAATTAGAATACTAAATTATAAAACCTGAAAAGCCTCTGACACAAAACATTATATATAACAATAACTTACTCCACGTAAAACAAATACAAAATATAAGAATATCAAGAACTTTAACAAATACCCAACTAAAAGAAGCACATTGCAGTGACACTCACCCCACAACCAACATCAAGGACTGTCCTTATCTCCCCTGACTTCAATGGCACAACCCTCTTCAATTCGTCAATATAACCCTTAATCCCCGTCGTAAATGAAGTGCCACCGCCCGGAAAAACTAGCCGGTCGCCCTCCAATCGAACCCAATTCTGGGCTTTCTTTGACACAGTGAGTCTTTTAAAGGGTACATTGTTGAACCAAGCATAGTCTCTGCTCTTCGGCCATGGAACTGGCCTCCGGTACCCGACCGGCCTCGGGACCAAACACCGGAGCCCCTCCGCGGCGTCCGGGCAGTGCCGCTCCCTGTGGAAGCGATTTTCAGTTACGAACAAAGTTTCCTTTTTTGGGTCTTGACAGGGGCAGTAGTCTGTGAAGTTCTTGGGGCAATATGGGAAGAATTGGATGGTTTTGGGGGGTTCTGGTGGGAGAGAGAGAGTGTGGTGGGGTTCAAAATGGAGGGTCTGAGGAGGGTTTTGGTGTGTTGTGAGGTTTTGGGGTTGGAGACAGTTTGGGACTTGGAGGGAGTGTGTGGAGGTTGGATTGAAGGAATTGTTTTTGTAGAAGCCCAGAGTGTAGGAGAGTGAGCAGAGGATGGTGATGAGAAAAACCCTAATCAAGGGTTTTCTCAGAGGGATTGAAGGAGGTGGTTGCTGCGGTGGTGCTGCCATTGTGTGTGCTTTGGTGAGATTTGCTTTGCAGGGAGGGGCTCATCGTTGTTAGAGTGACAGTACTTGAACACCTCTCTCTCTCTCTCCTCTGTCTTTTTTTCTCTCTCTAGAATGGAAGCATTGATGTGCTTGTACCAAAACCAAAGCACAGTGCTCTGATTCCTCATCTCTCGCCATCTTTCATGGACATTTGGGTCATTAGTTCGGTTGACACGTTTAAGTCAAATGTAAGAGTGTACTATATTTTGAAATGCATTTCATAGTTAAAATAAGGCAAATTTTGAGTGTTGAACACTCTATTTGGGCAAGCTGATATTTGTTGCTCCAAAGATATTTCCAATTTGCTTTAGTTTTTTCTTTTAAAATAAGGCAAATTTTGAGTGTTGAACACTCTATTTGAGCAAGCTGATATTTGTTGCTCCAAAGATATTTCCAATTTGCTTTAGTTTTTTCTTTTAAAATCAAATAAACACATTTGTAAAATTGACAACAATTTTTACATATTTTTAATAGGGTGATGTGTAAAATATATATATATATATATATATATATATATATATATATTACAAAAAATGTGCAAAAAAATATGTTATTTAGTATGTGCATATAAACTCTTGATATATGAAAATATGTTCAAATTGCCTCCTAATATATGTTAACAGTCAATTTTGAATAAAAAATAATAAAAACCCTAAAATACCCTTAATACTTAATATCTCTCATCTCTCTCACTTCCTAAAATCAGTGTTTTATATTTATTTTTGGTTTAAAGGGTGTTTTAGGTATTTCAATCTTCAAATTAACAAAGTGTCCACATTTGTTCAATATTAAAAATGCATGATTTATTTTTTAAACAATAGAATAGTTGCACATTTGATATATAATTATAAAAAGAGAGAGATCCCAGTTCTTCATTTCTGTTTTTTTCTTTCATAAAGTTAGGAAATTATTCATTATGTTTTTTATTAATTAAGAGTGTTGGGACATAATCTTTGATCCACATTATTGCTTTTTATTAATTGAGGTTGACCTAAAGCACATTATCACTTTTTTAACAAGGATCATTGCTCACCCAATTATGATTTGACTGGTGGTTGGTTTGGTACAATTTCACATGGTGTGTTTGGTCATTGAATTGTAGATTTTTAGGAAGAAAATGTGAACGAGAAATAAGGAGAAATCAAACAAGTAAGAGGAGACAAAATGGAAGGAATTGGAATTTTTAATGGACTCTTAATATTGACAAAAGAAAGGTAATTTTGGTATTAAAAATGTAACATGTAATGACTAAATGGCCTAATGCTTTTGGAGCACTAATATTAACAGTCTTTTATTTATAATTAAATATTAAACATCTAAAATTCAAAAAAGTATTTAAAAGAATTCTTAATCTATATTTAGTACTTAAATTGTAATACTTAAATTTAGTACTTAATTTTTTGCCATTGGTACGGATTTTGTTTTGATCTAGATGTTTCTTTTCTATAAATAATTGTAAGTTTTTTTTTTTTTTTTTTAAGAATTATATTTTAATGCTGATGACTTATTAAATATGTGCCACGTCATTGATGGTATGTTGACCCTCTAACTTTAATCTAACGTGGCTTTGGTGGGCTCAAACTCCAAAAAAAAAATAATAATAATAATAAATTTATTATATATATATTATTAATAATATTAGTCCATCATATTGACAATTTCTGAATCCGTCCTTAACTGTAACGTCAAAACAAACAAGTCTTTCACCACCAAAGGACCCTTCACTCAGTGATATAACATTCAATCTTGAAAAAAATGGAGAAGGAATTCGAGTTTGGTTCGGGCGTGAGTAAAAGGGTGTGTCTTTACTTTACCATTCGGTAAAAAAAAAAAAAAAAAAAAAACCCTTCTTGACCCTTTTGCCATTGGTACGCATTTTAGTTTTTATATTTTTATTTTTGTCGGGGTAATAGTGAACAATGAAAAAAATGTGTTTGGTAAAAAATATTTTATTTTGTAGAATGCTGAACGTTTTGTGAGTAGAGGCCAAGAGTCAAAAACTCCAATTTGATGTTTTTACATATTTCCTTATTGTTATAAGTTACAAAGGTAAAGTATAAATTTTTTTTGAAAAACTCTTATATGACCTTTCTAAATTAGCCATTATAATTTTATAACTTATAACAGTTTGTTTACCAAATATGTTCTTAAAATTTTTACAATAAATAGACATTATCAAACAATCTTTTGATTATTAATCAAAACACTTTACAACAAAATATTTATTTTGCTTCCGATTAAAATAAAAATAAAAAACAAAACCTTTACCAAACATGTCCTAAATTTTCACTTTGGCAATGTTGTTGCCCTGATTAAAAAGGTAGCATGTGATGGGCTTCGTGGACTAAACGGTGCTGCATTCCTAGGATATTGGTTGTGGACTTGTGGTGCTTGGACCAAACCAAGCATTAGTTCCAAGTCAGAATAGTTAAATTATATAATATGCTTCGATCCCATGGATGAAGACCATGTACCCTAAACTTCTATATGGGGTTACATACATGTTAGAGCGGTTCAAACCTCAATTGACTAAAGCAGTAAAGCATGTCGCTAGGTTGAGAGTCCGAATCATTTTGGGGTCCGTTCCTAAAAAAATATTTGTTACTGTCCAATACATGTGAAACAGAAGGGTTGCATTAGTAGTGAATAATAAGGTGCTTTAAGAGATTTGATACCATCGTTGTAAAAAAAAAAAAACTTTTTCATATCTAATGATAAAATTTAACAATAAAAAGTGATGATTTTCACTAATTGCACAAATTTTGTTGTTCATGTAAGAATTTTCTTACTTATAATTATAGGTATGAATGTATCCTACTCATTTGATTTAAAAAAACATAAAATTTCTCAAATACCTCTTGTTATTCTTACCAAAAATTGGGATGCATTGTTTTTGATTTAATAAAACTTGATTATAATTTTATTTTTTATTTTTAAAAAATGAATGAAAATAAAGACAAGAGTGAAAGTCCAAACTCAGATAATTGACCTAGTTGAAAAAAAATTATGCCCTCGTCCCTCCTGAGTCACTAGGTCTTATGTTTGAATATTTTGTTAAGTGTAAATAATTTTTTATACGTCATACTGCTAAACGTAAGTACAAATTTTACCTGATTCATATGAAAGATACGCTTCACGAATCATGTGAATTAATTGGAACAAAAATTCAGAAAGAATCTCAATTACATCGAGGGTCACATCCATTCAACTTGGCTTTTTGTGAAGGGTCAAACAAACAATGGAATCAATTAAGGTCAAAATCATGCTTTTGTTAAAAGGTAAAAGGGACAAAACACAATAAATCAAAAATTCAAAAGGGTTGTGGCACATTATGCGGCTGACAGAAATCTTACACAAGCCCGAATATATACTAAACAATGTAAGTGGTTGTACTGTGTGAAAGGCACCACCTGCTGATGTAGGCTAATCCAATGGCATCACACCATGTCATTTAGGAGAAGGAATTTACTAATACTTTAACATAATATAACATAATATAATTGGTGTACTTAGCTGAATCTGTAGTGCCATCCACACTGGATTGTGCCTTACATTAATTACTAAATATCACTCAACGGGAATGTTGAAAATTCTAAACGTGACTAATTATTTCATGGGAATGTTGAAAATTCTGTTCAGTGGGACGCAACTGTCAGTGATAAATTCTGATGTAGCATGGGTGCATGAGTTGCTCCATAATTCTGTTCAGCGGGACCCAATTGTTAGTGATGAATTTTTCTTGGGGCAGATTTTTTTATTTTTTTATTTACTTTTTCTTCTCAAAGGAGATTCTAATTTTTTTTTTTTTTTTGTTTTTTTCTAGATATTAGTCGTTTGCGAATTTACTAAATAAAAATAAAAAATTTCTTAATTTTTAACTTTGGAAATAATTCTTAAAAAATATAAAATAATTTTTACAGAATTACAGAAGACTGATTTCTAGAAAGTAGAAACTATAGACATTTTTATTTGTGTTTTCTAAGACAACCTTCAGAAAACTGAATGAAATGCAATTTTTGAACACTTCTCAGATTTTCAGATTTTTTAAAACCAAAAACAATTTTTAATTTTTAGAGTTGCAGGATCAAAATTTTTCTTTCCTTTGAAAATTGACGAGACCAAAAAAAAAAAATCCAATGAGAGTTTTTTTTTTTTTTTTTCACCTTACCCACCTAAATGGCTAAATTCTAACTTTTCCAAACCCAATAGTCAAACAACTTAATTGATGGATGGTCCACTAAAACACAAATTAGTTCAGTAAAAAAAATTTATTACTAGTATTAGCCCACCCATCGGTAATTCCTGAATCTCTCAAAACAAACAACTATTTCACCATTGAAGTACCCTTCACCTAATGGTATAATGTTACGGGGTTGGGATCTTGACAAACCCCTTGACAGCCATGGGATGCTGTCAGCGTACACTGGGGGTGGCCAATGGCATTTTCGTAAATATGGCAAAAAAGCGAAGCTTGGAGTTTTGGCTCGGGATCTTTATGGGAGGTACCTTGAGTCCGTAGAAGATGGTTGGCGCAGACAGTACTCAATTTGGATGTCGAGAAGGGTCTGAAAGGCTATAATGACTCCTCAAGCATAGGTGATGTCTACTCCCTGTCATAGTGTTGATTTTTCTTAGAACTATACCAGGGAGGAGTCTATTGAGCACGGGTGCAGATTAGTGGGCTTGACACAGGCAAGGTTCACAAGGTTGGCTCAGATATTGCGAAAAGCATGGACCACACAAGTCATGGCTTATAGTTACAGAAGATAGTTAAGTGGGTTCAGTTGGTTGGGGGAAGTTACTAACACTTCCCACTTGTGTGCATATATTACGGGGAGTGGGGGGTGTGCTGAGTAACTTCTCATGCATGTGGCACAGATCTAAGGGGACAGCACACAGGTGGTTAGAGTCTATTTTCTTCCACTATGCTGATATATAGAAAGTGGGAGATAATGTGTAACTTCCTGTGGACATGTGGCATGAGCAGAGGGTGCCAACACCACCCTAGGTGGATGGGGGTGTCATCCACCACTTTAGTGGGTAGTTGTGGGCGGTTTTAAGAGTTTACCTATATATTGCTAATGTGGGTTTTGTAGAGAAGGCAGATTGAGAGTGAGACACAGAGTTGTGTGGTGAGAGACTCTTGTATGCTTCTGTAGGTTGAAGCCTTTCCTTGTACTGTTTTGTGAATAATAGTAAAAGGTTGGAAATTTT